TGTCCCTCACACCCATCGATCTAAAGATTAAAGTTATCGACGTACATTAATTATTATTTACATTCAATATTTATTTTATTTACTTGGGTAATATATACCCCTATTTAATTTTGTATGTTTGAATCAATAAATTTAATAMATTTAATACATTTTTTTTTTTAATTTTGCAGAATCGTATTTATACTGTTATATTTATCTTCTTTATTTATAYCTATCCATCTATATACCACTACGGATATGTATATATCAACAYTCATAAAACGGCTTCTTAATTTTTCAGAATAATTATAAGAAAAATTAGGTGAGTARGAAAACCTAAAATATATAATTATATATAGCGTTATAATTTATATATACATATAGTATGACGTGTTAAACCTTAAACAAAAATAATTAATAAATTATTATTATATATTTTATAATAGGTTTCAATAGTATAATTTAAATTTAATTATAACTTACAAATAAAGATTTTTAAATTTTTAGTGATTTTACATTCATGTGGTGTTATAAAAGTATAACCCATTCTCGGAAAAAAAAAGTATATATGCTATTCATAGACATATTAATAAATATGTCAATGATGCTATTGTATGGGAGATAAGGTACCTCTGACCATCGTTCGATTTACAGGTGTGTGAACACGTATGTGTGTATAAACAATAAACATAATATTAAATATTATTATTATATTTAACGATTTACAAATCACAAACCTTCGATTTTGGTACCACGTTTTGACTTGTGTTTCTGACAAGTTCAATGCTTCAGCTACGTCACTGCGATCAGCTACGGACAAATACTTCTGAGAACGAAACTTGCGTTCGAGATAAGCCAATTGGGCGTGTGTAAACGCTGTTCTCCTGCGCCTAACCTTCCGTCCGCATGACTTCCCAGTCATCATGTCTTGATGTTGTTGGTAGTGATGGTGGTGGTGGTGTTTTTGGACCAACAATGGAAGTGCAGAAAAATTACTGACTGCCAGCGTACGGTCATCCATATCGGTGGCGCCTTCGTCGCTGGACATATCTTATAATAGATARCAAAATTATTTTTATATTTAGGTGTTTTTGACTATGTAATTTATATTTAGGTACTATAAAGGTACGTTATGATGTCTGATAGTCTATCGATAAGACAGAAAAACATAGTTGTTACTCTTATATAGCTAATTAATCATATATTATTTATATATAATATATATGTATGTATGTATGTATGTATATATATATATATATTATACTATATTATATTATAATAAGAGACATATTTTAGATTTTAGTGGATTTACATAATTATATTATCATATTATCCATGAAATATTGTATGAAAATCATTGTACTTTTATTAAGATACAATTATAATATACAGAGTGTCTCGTGAGGATTTACCCATTGCAATATCTCCCGAAATAATGGTGATATCRAAATTCTSGTTTTGTAATAAGACTCACAGGGATAATAACTACAATTATTTCATATTTTAATTGATTTTAATGTTTTGGTAAAAAAGTTAAAAAATATATTTTTTTATTTAATTATTTCCAAAAAAATTAAAGATAGCCATTTTGTAGAGTTTATTTTTCTRAAAATATTGACGTTTCAAAATKTTATTTTCATTAATTTCCTGATTTTTAATATTTTTTTTAGTTTCGAGAAAAAATACGAATTATTTAACACTAATGTTTTCAAACATGTGACCCGCCGCGGTGCTGCGCCACGCGCATTCCCATACGGCCTGCCCAATACCTTCCGTGTTCCTAATAGTTATAAATTATGATCATATTTTATTTCTTCAAAACTAAAAAAAATTTTAAAAACCAGGAAATTAATGAAAATAAA